AGTTAGGGCACGAGAAAAAATAATGATGTGTATCTTCTACTTTACCGCAGGAGCATAGTGTACTAGATATATTTCATCTATAAAGATCAGCGTTTAGCACGCAGTTGTGCCGAAGCCGTGTATGCAGTATATTGTTGCGTCTTTTACCAAAATTAAAATAAGGCAGAGCTTCTGTTATTTTTTGTTTAATTTTACTTTTGAAAGCAGACAAAGAACTTGAAAGTCTGGTATTTAGCGATTACGAATTCCACTCATTTATTACAGTTGGTACAAATGATGATTTGTAAGTTTGCAATTTACATACAGGTATACAATGTACTATAATTTTGTGAATTTCTTGTTGCATATGCAGAAGCATTACATCGCATATCTGGTATTATCTCAGATAGGTAATCTGGTACTAAATCATTGTGAATTTTGTACATGGTATTTAATCTTTGGATCTTGTGTCTGTCGCTGAGTGGTTCCCAGCCTGTTTCAAAATACAAAGAGTCTCTAGAGGCAATCATAGTTAGTCCAGTAACAATCCGAGCTGCGTGTAGTTGCAATTTCTCTAATTTTTCAGAATCGATAGATAGACAACCACCCCATACAACTGAAGCGTACTCAAGTTGGGGACGGATAAATGAAGTATACATAAGTGAAAGGCTTTTTCGATTCATTTTAAACTTAAGTTTTTTTAAAAGACCTAATTTTTTGTATGCATTAGACAGCAAGATTTCAATGTGAGATGACCAACTTAAGTTGTATGAAAAAGTAACCCCAAGATGCTTATGAGTTTGAACATATTCTAATTGGCTATCTTGGAAAAGGGGTTTTGGAAATTCTTTGTTTTTCTCTCGTGTTAAAAAATACAACCTTAGTTTTAGAGGGATTAAATTTTAGCAACCATTTTTTGACCACTCTTCAAGAGATAAAAGATCATTATTTAGATGACTTTCTACAGATTTGACACATTTACATGCATACTGCAAACTGTTATCGTCAGCAAAAAGTCAACAGAAGCTTGACATCTTATCAGCTACATCATTCACATAAATTAAAATAACAAAGGACCTAATACAGAGCGTTGGGGAACACCTGCATAAAGGGATTCAGTAGGGGATACCATGTTTTGTATATCACTCTTTGCGTTCTATTCTCTAAATAGCTTTTTAACCAACCACATATATCTTTCTTTCCACCATACATGTTTGATTTAATTCTATCATGGAATTGTATTTAAGAATGGTTTGAAAAAATTACATTCGTTTTTCAAAGAAAGGAGGACAGCCTGCGAAAATATAAAACAACAACAACAAACAAACAAACAAATAAAAATAATAAGAAAATAAAACAAAACGAAAACTAAACAAACTTGTAAACTATGGTATATTAAAATTGGATTTAATTACTGGGTATATATATTCTGTTAATATTTTTTAGAGAAAAACTAATATAAAAAAAGTAAGGTAATGCAAGTTACAAGTGTATTTTGAGGCATACCCAACCAATTTTTATCAAGTTTGGTCAATTTTTTACCCGTTTTGGACAACTAATTGTAATTTAATAAATTACTTTTCTATATTATTGTCCCCATTCCTGGCGCTGTGGCTCGTGGTCCTCTTGGTTTTATTTTTTTCACAAAATCATCTTCGCTTCTCTTCCCCAATAAGAAACTAGCTTATTAATTAGCATTGAATTTTGCTGAGGTGTTTGTATGGAAATATATTCCTTCCGATATTATCCACCACGGTAGTAACGTAACGAGAACATTTTCGTGTTACAGTAGCGCCAAGAAACCGTGGTCTCCTGTCGATTCCCATTCGTTTCCGTAACTGTGATTGATCGTGTATTGGTCATAGAACCCTGCGTAACATTAACACGGCCGTATTCCATCTCCTGAGCACAGGACAATTTATTCTTAGGTGAATATCTTCTACCATAAAATCTTTATCATCATGATAAAATGAAAGGGGAAAATTTACACATTGTTGCTTCTTTGTCATGACTAGAAAAATGAAAAAGTCTGTCTAAAATATCTTTTGCTGCCTCTGTAGCCAGGTTCAAATATATTACTTGCATAAAACCGTTTTTACATCGGATACATCAATGTGATAATGCCTTCGTATGAGAGTTGTGTGTTTTTGCATAAGAAGGAAAAAATAAACCCTGCATTAAGGTAGGGAACTTCAGTCTAAATATTTCTTGAAAAGGGGTTTAAATTTAAAATATTTTTGACTTACCGGGGGTATTTTATTTTGTCAAATAAAAATATGTAACATCGCTTTTATATTTCTTTTCATTTTGGCAACATCGAATATATAACAAAGGACAAATACATGTGATGATCTATTGTACTATGTAATACATGTATTTCAGATTTGTATTAAATGTTTATGTTCTGGTTTCTCAATTCTACATCAATTTCGATTCAAATGGGAATTTTCCATATGTTCGAATTTTCCCTTGATTGGGATTTTATATATAACTGGTCAGCTGTATGCCGTGTCTTTTAAAAACACAGATATTGTATATATCTTTAATGATATAATTTTTTGGATGTTCTGAAATAAGTTGCCTTTGTCCTCAAGAAATTAAAACCAGTATATTAAAGACGCAGAACTTTTTGTCTTTTTTCTCTTCGTTTCTCATTCATTATGTCAGCACATTATATTATTTGTTAAAACTTTATTATGTCAATTTCTACATCAACTTCTGTACTTGAAGTCGGAAGTTCATTATATGAAGTGAAAATATGTTCACATTGTGTTAAAACTTTATTATTCAAATGATATATTTATTCCTTTTTGAGAATTTTCTATTATATCAAAGCATTATTTAAAGGATCTTTAACAGCCAGGTTCGCATCTTACCTTTTTCAGTGCCGTGGTGTTGATAATGTGGATCCTTATATTATATATATTACATTGGTCAGCTGTGATGTGGATATATAATTACGTTATGTCAACTCTTTCTGATTTAAAAACTTTATATTGTGACTCTTTATCATGTTGAAAAATGTGAAAATACATTTACATTATCTGAAAATTATTCATTTTTTATATGACACGTGTTTTAAACCTAAACACGTATACGAATTATAGACACATCATTTATATCTTTATATGATATAATTTTGTTGAAGTATAGTCCACTAGGGGTAATGTAGTATCTGAAAAAAATATAGATATATTTTATTTCTGCAATTTTTTTGGCTTGTCGAGTTTTTTTCGGGTAAATAACTGACATCCTCTTTCAAATAAATGCTATGTCACGGAATTAGTTACAGTAATTTTTTCCATTCCAAGAAATTAAAACCAGTAAATCAATTGAATATGCCTTAATAAGCATGCATGGGCACATATTTGTGGCGCATATGGGAATCTTGAAAATTAGTTGGAGACAATAAAGCAGAACCAAAGGGGTAAAGCAGAAAAACTCCCCGGCAAGCTTTATAGTTTTATAGAAAAAAGTTTTCAATTTAATTCTGCTAAACTTAATGTGAAAGTAATACAATGTCCTACATTGTAAAACTAATAAATTTATTAATTTTATGTATATTTTGGTGACTAAAGATGGTAGGGCGGGATTTCTGCCCCCCTCCCCAACCCGCCAGTGCACGTGTGTTATATATCTGTTTACACTTTAAAAAAGGAGAGTTAAAAACTGATAAAAAATACAGTGTTTATGTCATAAGATTTTTATTTAAAAAAAAAAAGTTCAGAAAAAAAAATCGATTCATATTAATTTTTTTAAGATAAAAATCGCAAATGGCGACTTTAATTCACAAGTAGGCTTTGCTATTTTTCGCTTAAAGTTTTCATTTAAAGATGCAATTCCCAAATCGCTGAGGTTTTCTCTCATTTTTAGTGCTTTCGGAAAGCGGAAAATACGTTATGCTCATATGGAAGTTCGCATAACGTAATAGTGTCGACATAATGTAGAAGAGTGCGCACAGTATGACATGAGCTTTTCACATCTGATATGAGATGAAATAGCCTTACATGTATGCTGACAAGAGGCTTAGCATTTTTGACACAATGTAAAGACACAATGACATAACGTAATAACGATTTGTCAAAAAGTAAGGGCAAATTCACATCATGAAATTGATTCAAGTCGTCATGTAGCATATTGAAGGCATAAAGTAGTAAAAGAATTGACCACATGTGACATTTTTTTCAGATAATGTAATCGTATTAAATGATATTGAGTTAAAGATAAATTCACATCATGTAATGAACTACTTAGACCAAATAGTAGAGAGTGCACGCAATAGTAGTGTGTGTAATTGTCATAAGGAGTTGACATAATGTAATGAAAGGTTGACACAATGCAATAGTAGTGTGGACTAATGTCATAAAGAGTTGACATGATATAATGGAAGGTTGACATAATGCAATAGTATTGTGGGTTAATGTCATAAAGAGCTGACATAATATAATGGAAGGTTGGCATAATGCAATAGTATTGTGGGTTAATGTCATAAAGAGTTGACATAATATAATGGAAGGTTGACACAATACAATAGTAGTGTGAGTAAATGTCATAAAGAGTTGGCATAATGTAATGTAAGGTTGACATAATGCAATAGTAGTGTGAGTAAATGTCATAAAGTGTTGACATAATGTAATGGAAGGATGACGCAATGCAATCGTTGTGTTCTGCTATAAGGCAGTGACGGCGTTCCATATTTATACGTCCGAATTTTCTCAAGCAGTGTGCTGTATAGTATGTTATGTCATGATGTTCGTCGATTCTATTTTTTTCAGTATGTATGTGGGTTAATGTCATAAAGAGTTGACATAATATAATGGAAGGTTGACACAATACAATAGTAGTGTGAGTAAATGTCATAAAGAGTTAACATAATGTAATGTAAGGTTGACATAATGCAATAGTAGTGTGAGTAAATGTCATAAAGTGTTGACATAATGTAATGGAAGGATGACGCAATGCAATCGTTGTGTTCTGCTATAAGGCAGTGACGGCGTTCCATATTTATACGTCCGAATTTTCTCAAGCAGTGGGGGGTGTACTATGAGGTTCTCTTGTGCCTGGGAGTTCTAGTTGTCGGTAAGTTCATTGATTACTCCCTTACAACGGAGTTGGGGCACATGATATAGCACGCTTTGTGTGTGTATGTAGTAGGGGGGAGTGTAATTTGTCATATGTGCGTAACGGGGACTGTAGGGTGTAAAGGTAGAACGTGCAACTCACGGGCCCAGGAAGTGGCAGCTAAGATTGGGGCATTGTAGGTATAAGAAAACGGAGATGAAATATCTTTTTTAACGATTAATGCCAAAATGTCAACATTTTATCAAACAATCCTCCGAATTTTTCAGAGTATCTTTCTTTGTTTAATTTTTAGCTCTATACTGATCAGAGACCAGAAGAGCTTATGCGATAGTAATGCGTCCGTCGTCCCTGTATCTGTCTGTCTGTCCGTCTGTAAACAATATGTCAAAATGCTACTCCTCCTACAGTTTTGGTCTGATTTCAGTATAACTTGGCACACAAGTAGATTACACTAGGATACATAATTCGATATATCGGTTTTTGAGTTTCAATGAACGGTGTTACTGTGGTTACTTAAAATAGAAATTTCTGTGAAATACTTTAAAATTCTACTCCTCCTACAGTTTTTGTCTGATTTCAGTACAACTTAGCAAACAAGAAGACTACACTAAGATACATGTACATAATTCGGTGTATCAGTTTTGGATTTCGATAATTAGTGTCCAAATACAGTTTTAGTCAGATTATAATATAGTGTGGCTTGCAAGTAGAAAAGAGACTTAATCAAGGATCCTTATTCTATTTATTACTTTTGTAAAGTTTGAAGTCCCAACTGATACTTTTCTCTTCCTTTATTATTAGTGAAAACCAGTAGAGATACAGTCTCGACAGAGACTTCTGGTTTGTTTTCGTAAGGGCGGGAAACCTACAAAGGCACTTTCGGTAATAAAATTTTAACCTATAGTATAATAATTATACTAGGGGTTTATTACCGAAACAAGTCAGTGCCGTTGGAAACCTAGGAGCGATAAATCATTCCGTAAAAGATAGTGAATTTTTAATCGAATCATGTCACTCGTGTATATTCAACCATAACAATGACTATACATTTGTATATGAATATATCATGTAAAATCTCTTTATATATATTTTTTAATAAAGGCCTTCGACCGACCCTGGCAGCTTATGGTGGACAGACCTGTACCATACCCACATCTGGAAACCCCGGAGCCACTACCGTTTGTACGGGGACTGCTAACGGCTTTTGCTTGCTCGACACATTCACCGTCACGGGTAATCCTGTCACTCAGATAGCGAGAACCGGAAAATGTGTCTGTTACTATGGTTACAGTGGACCCGCCTGTGCAAGTAAATGTTTCTTAATTTTGCTTGAATGTCATGTTTCGTGAGATAGAGAGGTGGGAAGCTGAAGTTTTAAAAATACTCGGAAATTTTCATATACCTAGTATTATTAATGAAGTGATGCGTTGAATCTAAGTTGCTTAACATTTTGTTGATGACCTTTGTGTTATTTTAGCTGTGGATCCAGTATCTACGTCAAGCTCCTCCACCTCCTCCTCAAGCGGAACCAGTAACGCCATTATAGCACTGGGACTTGGACTCGCCGCAGCCTGGGCACTCAGTCAGGGACTCGGAGCAGGTGCTTCCCAGAATGCACTTGGTATTGGAAATGGATCTCCGCAAAGTGCACAGGAAGCCTTGTACATTCGACAAGCTTTGAGTGGACCTTGAGCTCGGTTGGAGAGTTTGGTTGGAAGGGGAGGGGGAGGGGAGTAAAGAAAATATATGGTGTTAAGGGAAGAAATGGCTACTAGTTAAACTTTCAAGTAAAATCAAGTATCTTTTTGCTATATAATAGCAATTGTTATGTTGTGAGGAAATAAGTAAATATTTCATTAAAACTTACTACATTCAGTCTTTTAAGGATCGATTTTCTGTCGATGGGAGACTGCATATACATGTACTTGTACCTGTTTTTCAACACGGGGTGTTTTGGTAAAATCTCATGTTTAGTCCTTCGCAAGATAGAGCGCCAAACAAACAAGCTATAACCTATTCCCCTTCAGATGCAAGAATTTCTTAAGCTGTAGATCTGTAGCTTGCTGGTCTGAAGAAAAAAAATTTAGATGGAGCTACAGTGTCACCCATAGAGAGCTACAGTGTCACCCATAGGAAAAACGTGTATTTTACTGCGCAACAAAAAGTGCGCTGTTTACCGAATAATTTTTCCAATAATATCAAAATACTACTAACTATGAGTTTCTAACATATATTTTCACTACTTCCACAACAATGCTTAACAAAATGGTCGTATAAACAGGCGATATTTTCAATAGTCTCAATTTCAAGTCCAGCAAGGTTATTAACATTAGTTTTGGGGAATGTTTTTGTGGAAGTAGTGAAGAAATATGTTAGAAACACACGGTTTGTAATATTTTGAGATGACATCTTTTAAAGTACCAGTCCACATAAAAATCAGACAAAACTATAAAAAAGTGATACATGAAGGTTTTCAGAATTTGATGATTTTCCACTCATAGATTTATTTTGAAGTATGAACAATGTATGTAAAATGAAAAATGTTTTGAGTCATGGTAACCATGGAAACCCGGCCAAAGAAATTTTCTTAGCAACCGGCGGATTTTTCAGTGTTTAGGGACAAAAAATCACCTATCTTTGAGGCTTAAAATAGCACGTAAATACCATGAGAATTATTCTTACTTATGGGTGTAATAAAGATACACATTTATTGTGTTCTAATAAAGTAATAAAAATTATTTAGGTCTTAAGTCAGTTCTGTGGTAGACATGTTTTACAAGTTTTGCTGATTCAGCATTTTTCGTGATTTTGGCAATATTCAAGGCCAAATTTTAAAAATGGCCAGATTAATACAGTTGTTGCATGCATCTCACATAAAAGCAGAGGTATTTCTCTTTTAGAATTTGAAGTCAAATCCATGGGCTATTTTGAAAATCGAATCTGTTGCCTAGCAACAAAAATGGGCTTTTTGATGCATAAAATGAGAAACAATGTCAAAAGTTTACGGAAAAATCAAATGAACGGTTATTTATGATAAACGAGATACAAATTTTAAAATAGTATAATTAAATTCGGTCTCCCTAGCACATTATTGAATATTGCATTATTCTTTTATTCCATAGCAACGACAGGTTCTCCATAGAAACAAGGCAAAGAAAGGTAATTTTGGCGTGTATTCGAGTAATCTTATTAAGGCTTATTCAAATTAAGTCAGATAAATGTGATTGATTAAAACTGACAATGAACTATTGGTCAATCTTAATTTTTTTTTCGTCTTTAATCAACACATGGCAACGATTCCCAGTGCATGGCAACCAATGTTCCCTATGCCTCCAGTAAAGAGATTTGACTTTTGGATCAGTGTTCGTCATGGAAATGAATATTAAATTAATGTGTTGATGATTGTATTTGTGGAGAGTGCTGAAAAAAATATATGAAATGTTCCATCAATTGTTGTCATGGCAACAACTACATGTGAGTGAATTTAAAATGGGGCGAGTCCAAAAAAACACAGTATAAATTCTGAAACAGAACTGTGACTGGGCGAATTTAAAATGGGGCAAAATTTCTTGTATGTGTGAACGGGCAATAATCATATGATACCAAATTAAAGATGTTTTCCATAGATAATGTTTTAATGTAACTTGTACGATATTGTGGATTAGATTCAAGACACAGCATGGTTGGAATGGCTGCATTTTATTTCCGGAACTGTTTTCATTTCCGATATTTTAAAGTTTTCATCTCTGACATTTTTCAAGCAGTACTTTTCTGCAATGAAAGTAGCTAGGATTTAAGACTTAACTCATGAAAAAATATTACAGAATTAATCATGAATTAATCATTGAAATCCAAAATAATGAGTTTTGCAATTGACTTTGGGTTATGTTTTAAACCAAAGGCCATGACATGGGGGGGGGGGGGGTGTTAGGTTCGATATTCAGTACCAATTTTTTTCCAAACAGCACCACATTGAATTCCTAATTTTAAACCTATTCTGCAACGTGTCTGTGGAAAGTGGGGGGCTAAACCTACGCAGCAATGTTCAATATCTATACTAGGAAAAGGCTAAGCCCCTAGCTGCCGGTTCCGACGCCTATGTAGTTTGGTAACTTTATAACCATAGACAGAGCAGGGGAATTAAAAAAATGCATTTCAACCACTCTAAGTAATATTCAGCATTACTCAGTAGTGTCCCCACCCCACAAGAACCCCTGACCCTCAGGTCCACCCATTTCACAATGTTTACTCATCATAAATGTTTGATTAACATCATGGAATGGATTTCAAAGAAATAATTCATTTTTTAGTATGTAGTCAAAGACCCCCCCCCCCCCACCAAACCCAGCCCTCTATGAAACCCCTGTTCCGGGGGGCTTAGAATTCACAATTTTGGAAGAACGATCATAGCTATATCATAGCAATATGTCTGTAGTCAGTTTGTTAAATACCTGGGAGCAAAGAAGAAGATAAATTATCAAAGATTTATTGCAATTTCACCATTTGATGATTAGAGCCCCACCCTAAGTAACACCAGAAATCCTGGTCCTTGCGCCATGAAATTCACAACCTGATCCTTTGGCCATGAGATTCAGAATTTTCAAAGAGGCACTCTTCCTCATTGTAACTACGCATGTAGTTAGTTGTTTAATACCCAGGGACAGAGAAGATTTTCCATTTTAAAAATACATGTTTACTATATAATCAAAAGAGCCCTGCACCCTAACACCAGAACTCCTGACCCTGGGACCATGAAGTTCACGATTTTAGATGAGGCTCCCTTCCTCATCATAACTATATATTTTTCAAAGAATTAATGCATGTTAACTATATAATCATTTAAGCCCCGTTCTAACACCAGAACCCCTGTCCAAAGGCCATGAGATTCACTACTGTAGAACAGGAATTCTTTCTCATCGTAACTATGTACTTAATTAATTTTACCCAGGAGCAGAGAAGAAGATTGTCAAAGAAATATGTATTTTCACTATATAATCTATTTAGCCCAGCCCTAGCATGATATAGAACCCCTGATCCTGGGGCAAAGAATTTTACTATTTTGGTACAGTGTAGAGGACTAAATGCTTATTACAATCATTCCAACAGGTTCACTGCTTGATGAAGGTTCACTGCTTGATGACTAGAAGTAAAGAAGATTTTTAAAGACTGCATTAATTTTAGTGGTTTTGGTCCCATCCCTCAGGCCCCAGGGACCCTGAAATTCACAATTTTGTGTTCCTCTTTAACCCACAGATGGGTTATTTCATATTTAGTTGAAATTGGTTCAGTGGTTCTTCAGTGGTTCCAGAGAAGAAGCTAAAAATTTTCAAACGTTTACGGCCGCCGAATGACGTACGACGACGAACGAAACAGAGATAGCAATAGGTATGGCACACCAAATTCACAAAAATGAGATAATCATAGTTTCACAATCGATAAACTAGGTTTATCGGTTGTAAACTATAGTTTAAAAACCGTAAACTATAGTTAACAGCGTTAATCTATATTTCACATCTGTAAACCATAGTTAACGCGATAATCTATGTTTCACAACCGTAAACTATACTTAACACCGAAAACAATCATTTGCGATTGCAAAACATAGATTATCTGATAAATACAGTTTCACAATTTGTAAACTTTAGTTTACAAACCGTTAACTATAGTTAACGATCTGATAAATATAGTTTCACAATTTGTGAAACTATGATTAACAACTCTTAACTATAGTTTACGATTGTAAAACTATAGTTTACAAACGTGAATCTATGTTTATCAACAAAATCTATTATTACAGACAGATAAACTTAAATCAACATTCGTAAACTATAGTTAACAACCGTTAAATATAGTTTTACAGATGAAAACTATACTTAACGAATCGTTAACTATAGTTTACGGTTTGTAAACTATAGTTTACAGTCGATAAACCTACAGTACAGGCCACGAGTTTTCCGCAACGCTCGGTGGAAAAAACACCGTGTGAAACGCTCTGTGTTACACCGTGTACACGGTGTAGCACGGTGTGTGTGGATTTGAAATATACAGGTAGGCACACCGTGCCGCACCGTGTCTAGAAAAATCTCAGCTAGTGCCCTCCGTGTCGCACCGTGTCCAGTAAATTTCGTTCCGTTGCATGTCCAGAAAATTTTCCTCCAAGCTGCACCGTGTAAATAGTATTTCAGACAAAATCGTTTGTTTCTGATGAAAAATTTGATAATAAATTTTGATGACAATTTTTAACTTTGGTTATGTATATATAAAAATCGTTTTTATTCTACCAGATATTGGACTTCGAATGGCACGCATGATATTGAGATTAGATATCGGTAAAAAAAAAATTAAATGATTTTCATTTGAATTAACTGTGTGTCTAGAAATTTATATTTTAGTAAAATTATTCATCCACATCACAAAATCAAAATTATGAATTTTATTTTAAATGAATGATTTAATCTCATGTGTTCACGTAACAAAGGAAGACGAAATGGCGTCGATCTACATTCGTGTCACATACACTGTATACATAGTACAGTATAAAATTAAATCGGAGCTGTATTTATGTTCATGGTTTTAACATGTACAGTACTAGTGTACGATCCAAGCATTATTATGTATATTCCTTATTAAAATACATTTATTTTGTTCATCTTGAATTATTCTGAATGTGAATTCGAAAATCGTCAGCAGAAACACGAAATTAATGCAATAATTTCAAAGCGTATTTCTCGTAACAGCAAACATTATTTTCACAGAGTAGTATTCACTACGTTATGTTTTTAAAATCCTTTCAGTGTAAGTAGTTATTTTAATTTGTTTGTCTTTTCGTGTAAAGTGTATAAAAAGCTATACCAGAGAGAG